AATGATAGAAAGAAAGACCAGCTACCGCACCAAACGAGAAAGAGCGTCGAGGAGACCGATAAAAAATAAATAAAAGGAGAACGGGGAACGCTTCCCACACCCCTTATATGTGTGCGTGTTCTTTAGATCCTCAGATGGCTCTAGCACTTTCGTGACCACGGGCTGAGAGTCTTTGCTAGATTTTGGCATTTAGCAACTGACATACAGTTGAATGTGAAGACAACAACAACAACTCTAGTGGTCAGGTGCATGCTCTCTCTACCAGATATATTCTATGTGTCCAGGATAGCCACGCGGCGTTCAAAGAGTACCGGGGAGTAAGCAATGCTGAGCAGCACCCAATAGAGTAGTCTAAACGACAAGGTAGACTGCTCCCACGTACCAACATTTATTGTTCTAAACAACTGCTACACATCCATCCACACCGTACGTAGTTTGCTACCGTTGGCTGGGGCTGGGGGGCTTCATGTCAACCATTTTCTGCTGTGTCGACAGACGATTCAGGTGGGCAAAGGGCGCCACACTGCATGCGGTAAGGACCTCTACCAATGACAATTAGGTGCAGCTCCATCGCACAACCCGCATCGCGACGTGTGGCCTAACACCCACGCGGTCGTCGCAACAACCCTGATCTAGACTATGCGTATCTGTTGGTAGTGTCGCAAATAATAGGCACTTCGAGATGACGCGAAAACGCACTCTTTGGATCACTGCAGCCGCAGCCGTCATCATCTCGCCTACACATTTAAATGATCGAGGGCGCGGCGTTTGTACCGCCAGCGTAAGACGCCGTCGTTGCCTTTCACTCGCTTTGGTCTTTCATCAGGAGTTCCGCGCGTGGCTTCGTGGATATATGTACACACCGACACGAGACGAGCACCACCTGGTCCAGCAGGTGCGCCGGAAACGGAATCCGAGGTGACTCTTGGAATAGTTGTTTGCGTGTACGTATGTCGATCGCACTACACGCACCACATTATTGAGAACGTTTGCGTTTAAGATTATCGGGTGGATCGCAACGGGGGCACCAGGATTCCTCCCCGGAAGGAGCTCTTGTACTACCCCGCTGGCGGCGGGCGTTGTTATCTGAGACACCGCGGACGCGTTGCTGCTGCTGTGGTGGGAAAAAAAGCGAAGCTGCCCGCCCGATCTGCAGTCGGGTCCGATCCCTCTTGACCCTTGACTGCTCTTGAGAGCTGAGAGGAGCCGAGAAAAAAAGCCAGAAAAGATGCACACGAAGCTTCGTCGATGGTGTTCGCAGGTTGACCTTTGGTCCTCTCTCGTTCTCTCTCTCTCTATCTCTGTGGATCAATATCAATCCCCGAACATTTGCCGCTTGTGCGGGGTGGGCGAAAGGAGAGAGCGTGTGCGTTTGAAAAGTGTTCGGGCCCCTGGCCGGCGATGACGTGTGTCCGCCCCCCTGCTAAAAGTATGGTCTGCGCTGGCTGGCTACCGCGCTGTGCCGCTGCTGTGCGTACCCGTGCAACACAGCATGAAGAGTAAGAGGTGCTGTGTGGGGATACAGATTCACGCATCAGCTCGAAAAATCTGGGAGGCGGAGGGGAGAAAACCTCGGTAGCCGCAGAATAAAAAAAAAGAAGAAATAGGAGGGGTACGCACAGAGGGTCCGGCCGACGGTATCTCTCTCCCCATGTCCCACTTATCTCACAATTCCCCTCTCTCTTTCCCCCCCCACCACAACAATACAACAATATTCTCTCTCATCAGCTTCGCGTTTGCGTGTGTCCAAGCCAGCAGGGAGATTGATACATCGCGTGGTGTGTGAGAGAGAGAGATAGACGAGGGTATAACGAGCTCTTATCATCGGTACGCTCACCGTGACTAGCGGCGGCGCGGCTGGAACGCTTGTTGACTGGGCGCGGCGGGGGCAGGAGGGGGTCATCAATCACACCGTCTGAATCTCCGAGCAGCAGCAGCAGCAGCAGCAGCGGGGCGGGAAGTGGGTGCGCATTTTTTTTCAGGTTCTTTCCGTCGTGAGAACAGCGAACCAAACCTGCTGCAGATTCACGCACACACACAGCTATTGGTGGGGGCGTGTGTGTAGTGAGTAGTAGCCTCTGTGCCAAGGAGGGAGCGAGGAGGTGAGGGGGAGATAGGTGGTGTCTCTAATCATCAGGGCAGCAAAGAAAAGGATAGCTTGCTGCTGGTTGTTGTTGGGGTCGAGTGTAGAAAAGGATAGCTTGCTGCTGGTTGTTGTTGGGGTCGAGTGTAGTGTAAGATGGGCAGACGCCCGTTTTTTAGGACGCTCAGCGGCACCTTCTCGTCCAATAAGGCCACTACGAGCAACGAGGACAAAAATGAGGGCAGCAGCAAGCAGCAGCCCTCCAAGCGACCGTCAACCGTGGGAGGAGGAGAAGACGTCGGCGTGATTCGAAGAGCTTCGTTCATGGCGCGGCCCAGGCACAAGCAGCAGCAGTCGGCAGGAGCAGTAGCAGCGCCATCAAGATCATCATCCCAGTCTCCCGCTCTGGTAAGAGAGCCAACAAGTAGTCTGTCTCTCTTGTTTATTAGAATTCAGGCACGTGCATGAACAAGCGAGGGAAAAAAGAAGCAAGACACGCCGGCAATCAACCAAACCCGTGCTGCTGCTGCTGCTTGCGTAACAGACTCCGAACCCGCTTGTTGTTGTGCGATCGATTGTCGTCCCAACGTGTAGTAGAAAACCAGCCAACAAGGGCCGGTGTTGTGTGCCGGTCGTCATGATTTCGTTTCACACATGAAACAACTACTACTGTTCTCGGGTCGAAAAATGGACACGCTACGCTCATCGCTTGCGTGTCGAGAACGAATTTGGTTTGCGTAAAACCGGCCGATGTGTTCCCCGGGAGTGTGTGTTTCCTCCTGGATTATTGATGAACGACCCAACCGATAGACTGTTGGCCCCATACACGACAGCAGCAGCCCGCGGATAGCAAGAAGCCTCTGTGAAGGGCAGCTCCGGCGGTCATCGCTTATTGCGCAGGTCACTGTACTCCTACATACACTGCGCCCTCTACCCCCCAGTTATTTTCGCGCGAAAAGCGAGTTTTCGGTGAACCCATATTTTTTGGCTCTGTGGCTGGCTCGCCCCCCCTTATACAACGGAGTAATTTCGGACGCGCGAAAAGTGATTTTTTGGTGAACCCATATTTTCTGGCTCTGTGGCTGACTCGCCCCCCCCTGTACAACGGAGTATTTTTTTTCGCGCGAAAGGTGAGTTTTGTGTGAACCCATATTTTTTGGCTCTGTGGCTGACTGGCAGCAGATGGATAGTTGCAGCTCTGGCGGTTGGAGGACATTGTATGCGGTCATCGATCTATGTGCGTACGTGCTGCTGTTCCTTCTGTACAGGAGAGAGAAGAAGTCCATGAGCAGCGCCTTCGCTACCTCAAACCTCGAATGTGTTTTTTTTTTCCATTTTTCTCATGGACTAGTCTATATTCTCGTCTACCGCACCCTGACCTGGCAGTGCTGCAGGAATTGTACNTGAGCAGCGCCTTCGCTACCTCAAACCTCGAATGTGTTTTTTTTTTCCATTTTTCTCATGGACTAGTCTATATTCTCGTCTACCGCACCCTGACCTGGCAGTGCTGCAGGAATTGTACGTGTACCTCCTCGGGCTTGTGTACCCTTTTCTTGCTAATTGTGTGTGTGTTCTTAGATCTTCTGATGGCTCTAGCATTGTTGTGACCATGGACCGAGTCTAGATTTTGAGATTAGCAACTGACACGAGTTTAATGTGAAGAAATCATCATCATCATCATCAACAACAACAACCAACAACAAAAACATACCGGATGCGCCCGGTTCAAAGTAGTAGCGGTCAGATCAAGTGCTGCCTGGCGTGCTTCTGTTTTTTTTCTCCGCACACGCCAGCACCAAATAGCCTCTCTGGTTGTAGCCTTGATCTCGCGCACGATCATCAACATGCACGCATGCACGTTGCAGTGCGTTAGCAGCAGGCGCTGTCCGCGCATGTACCTGTTACCGTTTCGCATGGCACACAAGACCAGCCTGTGTGCCCTCTAGTGAAAAAGGATATTCTGTAGAAGGGAAGGAAGCGAACTGACAATAATTGTGCTTTTTTTCGCCGACAAAAAGAAGAGAACATGTCGACCCCCCGCTCTCTCTCCCTTTGCTCTGTTTTTATGTGAACACAACAACAACATCTGTACCCGCCTCCTCTCTTTTTGCGTGATATGTCTTGACTGAAGACGCTCGACTGGCTGTGCTCGGTCGAACGCACGTATCATCAACGACCCACCCACTAACATGTTGTCACAGTGTAAATGTAAAACGCGCGAGTCGGTTTCCCCCCTCTGTACTATTCTCACTACACCAATAATATGGCCCCGTCTCCAAACGGCAGTAGTACCACCTGCTTGCAGGTCGTCCGCACCTCCTGCTGTCGCAGACAAGTGTACTTGACTTGAACAAAAAATAGAAAGATGTTCGCCCAACCGGGCTCGCTGAGCCTGATGTTACTACGCGGGATTGTATGTCCCTATATGCATGCTGATCGGGGCGGTGCGCCCGCTAACGCATGAACCCATTGTTGATCTATCCAGGAAGGACCCTTCCCTGTCGATAATTTTTTTTTCAAATAAACAATAATCAGCTTGTTCGTGTTTGCGAGAAAGATAAACAGCAGTCCTGGGGAGGGGGACCCTACGATGCAGGTTGTGCTCCGGTTCGCTTGTTTCGCTGAGTGCGCGCAGAACCTACACGCTATTGTAGTTGTATGCGTAAATGTGCTTCGTCGGTAGCATCGCTGCGCCCTCGTCCCTTCAAAACCGGGCCTCAAAGAACGAACGGTACAACAAGTTTGTTTCCGGTTTTCCACCGCGATTTTCCGTTATTAGACTAGAGCAGCAGCGTACACAGCAGTGATGCGACAGACCCTGCAGGGTACAAGTACACACCAGGAGCAGCAGCTGCGATTCGATAAGGCAGTCGTCAGACAACGAATTCAGAACAACCACGTAGGCGTGGATATTGCAACGCACGACCTCTTCGTTCTGTTGTGCATAGTACATGTGCGTATATTTTCGTCGGCCCAACACGGGGGACATGCCTCCCCTGTGAGCCACCATATTTTTAGTAAGTAGACAGAACCTCACAGGAAGACTACCCGTGCGAGATGTATCCTCAGTCGAGAGGGATGTGAAGTCTTTTCAGTAAGTGGATTGAAACCGACTGGGCAGGAACATACGTTGTACCGAGAGTACTCTGCATACAGCAGTGGTTACAAGGCGGAGAAAATGACACCCCCTCTAGACGGAATTTCAAGGCTCGAATCGAACACTCCATCCACAGCCAAAACTCGCGCCAACATGAAAAATGGTGTTTTTAGAAACTTCGCCGTCCAGGGCTTTCCGCAGCTCTTTCAGCACCCACTCGGTTAGTTGTGGAGCAATCGAGATTTGAGCGCCGGTCTATTNGGGGGGGGGGGGGGGGGGGGGGGGGGGGGGGGGGGGGGGGGGGGGGGGGGGGGGGGGGGGGGGGGGCATCTCTCCGCCTCCTACGGTACTCTTTCGGGTCCTCAAATCAATACCTATTTGAATATCCGTTGAAGAACACGGCAGACTCGTGGCTCAACTCTTCAACTTGTGTTGACGGGGAAACCAAGGGGAAACACGCAGAAATAATGAAGCAAGCACGTTGAGAAGCACTGTATTCGTATGTACTTACGCTATTAGCAAGCGGCGGCAGCGGTGGATCCCATATTCTACACCACAATAACTCAACGTTCTTTAAGGTACATAGTTGTAACATCTGCTCGACGGCGACGGTGGCGACCACGATTTGTGAATATTTGGTGTTTGGTTCGTTGTTCGTTGAGGTTCCCTTGGCGCTTCCAGTCAACAGTACGTCAGCCCAAGCAAACGTCTCAGCCATCCGTTACATTCATGTTCTTGCTAAATACGGGCTGGTCCTTCGGCCCGGTTTTACGTTTGTTTATGTTTGTATTTTCTTTGCCATTTAATAAGTCACGCCTTTTGATGACACTGCGGCTGCTGTGCTGTCGTGGGAGGAATCCCTTGTACGACGCGTAAGGAATTGAACCTGGACCCGACGTTACGTTTGTTTACAGACTGATTGCGAGCCCAGCCTAATTCTATGTTAAACAGCAGTGCCAAATTTCGCCACCCCGCCTCGGATGTACCCTTCTCTCCATAAAAACCACATAGAGGCAAGCGCCGCTGAGGGCACGGTGGGACAAGAAAAAATAAGCTCCCGTGTGACTTCCCTTGGGTGACGTCGGCTGGTACGTCAGGTGTATACGCCGAAAGGCCTGTAAACTGGCGCCAGAATAAATGGGACGAACGCACACACACACACACCTTGTGCACGAAACGAACACCAGTAGAGAGGCGTTATCTCCCATACCACGCACGCCGGCGGTAAATAATTCTTCAAACAAGTTTTTCCATCATTTTCTAAGAAATGTTTTTCACCAAACGTTTTTTAATGGATATTCTTCGTGTTGCCACGCTCACGAAAAACGAGCGGCGGCGGCGGCGGCAGCAGCAGCAGCAGGAGCAGGAGCAGGAGCAGGAGCAAATCACTGCTGCAGTGGGGCAGGAGAAACGTTGTCGTCGTCTGTCGCTCTTGGTGCACCGGGAAAACAGTTGTTGTTTTGAGAGTTGAGGTTTGTTCTGCTGCGAACTGCTGTAACTCCCAAGGCCGGGTTTCGGGCCCCAGATGATACCTCCCTCTGCCGTACAGCAGCTACAGACCCGAACAGCAGCAACGGCCATCACTGGCCCGATCATGCGGATCGAAGTGCTGTGTCTCAGGAAGACCTCTCCTTTACCCCAGCCGGCCTTGCCCCCAGCCTGCACTTGCGCACTCCCGCCAATTGCTGGTGGAATTCCGAGAAAACAATCTTCGCGCCTGCTGGCCTAAAAACACCAATTCTGTTGTGCCACCCTCTCCCCCACCCCCCCCACCCCATACCCCGTGGTACGTCTCGTCCACGTGTTGTCTGATGATGATGCCAATCTCCTGTGGTTGGTGGCCCCTTCCCGTGCCCTGTGATGTTTTATCTATGCCCGCTGCCCCATTCCTGTGGTCCTCAGTGTTCGCCCACGTGCACCCCTGCCGTCGCCGCCGCCGTCATATACTTGTATTTTCGCCGCCTTGCTGTTTGCCGAAACCAAAGCAGCAGGCATCTCATTCTACTGCTGCTGCTGCTGCCGCTGCTGCTGCTGGAGGAAGGAGGGTGGTGAGCAAGCCGGGGGGGCAGCCGCGAGCGTACTCCATGCCGCGGCCTCCCCGCAAGGGCGTCGAGACCGACGAGAAGCAGCAGCCAACCGACCAAGACACGCGCGTGGACCAAGACACGCGCGTGGACCAAGACACGCGCGTGAACGGGGCCGCCCCCGATCGCGGCGGCGGCGGCGGCGGCGTCAGTAGCAGCGAGAAAGACAAGTCGCCGCCGAAGACCAAGACCGGTCCGTCGAAGCTGTCGATAGCGAGAAGCGACAGCTTGAGCATCTCCACCAGCGGAGGAGGAGGCGCAGGCGGCGGCGGCGGGAAGGCCAGCAA